TACCATCATACTTGTGGAAGCAAAACTCCTTAGATTTTGTTACAAGGTCAATCTACTTGCTTCCTTTAATTGCATAACTTCTTGCCACGGACTCAGAACTTCTTTTATATGTGTAGGTATAGTACCTCCATGATTCAAGTTAGAAATACGTGAGATTTTCATTCTTAGAGTATTGACAAGCTCATAAAGATCTGCAATAATTGCAAATCTATTCTTAATTCCGTTGAAAGTAACATCCATAATCTTTCCTTCCATAGACAACTCAAACAAATTCATAAAGTTTAATTAAAGAAAGATAAACTGCAACCTCTAATAAAAATTTCCACAACAAGGGATAATTCACTCTGTTTAAGGAAAATATTAGTGTTAAAAAATAAGATTTTTTATTTAAAGGTGGATAAAAACCTTCAAAATACAACAATAGAATAGGAATATTCTATTTGTTTCTAAAATAAGATAAAAATAGTAAGTTAACACTCTTGTCAAATTATCAAGGAGATGAATCTTGAAGAAAGAAAATCCTGAATATATTCTTGTGTCACTAAAAGGAAATAGAAAGTCACTCAAAGATGATATAATATTGAACTAAAATGGCTATTGCCAAAAACAAAGAGACTAGAAAGTCTTGAAACAAGACTGAGGACTAGAAAGGCATTGATAAGAGTGAAGAAGGCTTCACTCTTGCCTCCATATATACTCTTAATTAAGAGTGATGTGGCAATGTCTTATTGGATGTCCAAAACACATTGACTTTGCAAGATACATTTCATAACTTACAAGGCAAGTTATTTATGTATGTGCTACATAATTAACTTGTTTCAAAAGCTATCAATATGTGGTTAATTTATTAGCTAAGTTTCTAACCTATAAACACATGTAAAGTCATAATCGCATCTATAAAGCTTCTTGGAAGCTTTTTTAGACTTTATAAATTAAAATATATTTATCTACTTCTATCTAATCATATAAGTAACTATTTGGATAAATGTATATGTCTGTGATAATTCCTTTCTAACCAAGTCTTTATTTTTGACACCTTTCAAATAATCAATTGTGGTATGCAATGGCTTGAGCAATAAATTACTCTGAAGATTTTGCTTTTGATATTGTCAATAAAAAATCTTTGATATTATCCTTCAATTCATATTAAAATTGATTAATAAGAGCTTTATGGTTTTAGTCCATGTTGCAAGCAATATTTTGGAATTTAGCAATATATATGGTAGTTGATTATGATCCTTGGAATAAAGATAAGAGCTTGGTTTTTACAATTCTTTGTCGACCACTTTCTCCAAATGTAGCCATAAACACTTCTATGAATAAATTCAAATCATAAAGAAGTCAAAAATTATTTTTTATTAAAGATGTCATGGATATATATCTATTGTATTTGGTATGTAGATAACATGAATAGATAGAAGTAGCTAAAAGTAGATTAATTTCATAATACCTTTTAAAACAAATTTTTAGATGTTGTTTTGATTTTATATGTATTTGTAGTTGATTGGTAGATTGGAAACTTGATGAACAAGCTAATCCTGTGCCACATGTATTGGTAGCTTGCAAAACAAGCTAACTATCTGGTGTCTACATAGAAAACTTGCCTTGCAAGTTAAGATATGTGTCATGAAAAGTCAATATATTTTTGGAGGTCTTATAGAACATCGCCACGTATGTCTTAGGTAGATAGTATATATAGAGGCAAGAATGAAGCCTTCTTCACTCTTGTCAACTCCTTTCTTACTTATAATCTAGATTCAAGAGTCTCTAGTTTCCTTGTCTTTTGGCAATAGCTATTCTAGTTTCTGTTTAATATACATATTTCTTTATTTTTATTTTGTGACATTTTTTTTGACACGGATTTCTTAAGTTTATACATCTTTTAATTCATGTCCTTAACAAAAGATGCAAAGTAAGTAAGAGAACTTCTACTTAAAAGTGTATCTATGAATTCAACTTAAGTAAATCCATCAAGGGATTGGAAGAGATGCAACCTTAAATATAGTTTGACTTGTTACAAAGATCCTCAAAATTTTGATCTTATTCCATCAAACTTATTTGGTATATTAATCAATGTCTTTGTTATGCTTGTAGAAGCAAAACTTCCTAATTTTGGTTGTGAGGTCAATTTACTTGCTTCTTTCAATTGGATAATTTTTTAATGTAGGTTATGAAGTTTTTCCATAGGTGTAGGATTAATGTTTCCATGTTTGATATAAGTGATGTGTGAAATTTCCACTCTAAAAGTATTGACAAGTTCGTAAAGATCTGCAATAGTTGCAAATCTATTCTCACTTCCATCAAGTATAGCATCCATGATTTTTTACCCCATTTCAAACAACTTAATAAATCCACAAGTCAAATTAGAGGAGGGTAATCCGCAACCTCTAATATTAAATGAAAATTTGTACAAAGAAGGATAATCAATTTTTCTTAAAAAATAAAATAAAAATACAATGTTAGAAAATTAAATAATTTGTTTGAAGGTAGGTAATTAACACACTTATAAAAGAAGACAAGAAAAAAAAGTTAGCACTTTTGGTAAATTGTCAAGGAAATGAACCTCAAAGAACTAAAATATCAATACACTCTTGTGACAGTCAAAAAGATTGGAAAATCACTTAAATATAATATAGTATTAAACTAGAATGGCTATTGCCAATAATAAGAAGACTAGAAAGTCTTAAAACAAGACTAAGGACTAGAAAGACATTGATAAGAGTGAAGAAGGCTTTACTCTTGCATCCATATGTACTCTTAACTAGGGGCTATGTTGCGATATCCTATAAGACCTCTAAAACATGTTGACTTTGCAAGACATATATCTTAACTTGCAAGGCAAATTTTCTATATGTAGACTACATAGTTAACTTGTTTTGCAAGCTATCAACATGTGGTTATTTATTGACCAAGTTTCTAGCCTATCAATCAATTACAAATACATGTAAAGCCAAAGCAACATCTATGAAGCTTTTAGGAAGCTTCTTTAGAAAATATTATAAGATAAATCTACTTTTACCTATTTCTATTTAATCATATAGGTAAATATTATAATAAATATATATATCCATGACAAGAAAAATATAATATAATTTCAATAGACATTAATTTTAAATTTTAAATCTAAATTTTATTTATAACTTTTAAATTATATGATTAACAAAAGTTAACATTACATTAAAAGTTTTTTAGTTTATTATTATTACATTACATTACATTAAAAGTTTTTTAGTTTCTATAATTTATGTAATAATCTATAGTAAATAAAAAAAATAATCAAATAAATGCTTAAGGTGATTTATATATTATATAACTTATATTATTAATGCTATTAATTTTAAAATATAATTTATTTAATTATTTATCATAAATATTTTTTAAAATGTATCATTTAGATTTTTATTAGATTTTTTTTAAAATTATTTAAACTGTTTAATTGGATGTTGAGAATTCTTTAAAAAATTGAAAGTTTTTATTCTTTTCTTTTTGTAATTTTTTTAATATGAACTTGATTTTAAACATGTTGTTTATACACTTAATTTAAATCATTTTGTATATGATTAGAATATGTACATATTTTGACTGTTCTTCAATTATAGTGTAATATGTAAAATTTTAATCCAAAAAATAAAAAATAAGATTTTAAACAAGATTTTAAGATAGCATTTTTATTGAAATTTTAAATAGAATCTGAATAAGTTTTTATGTTAATCTTTTCACCATATTGAATTCAACATAGGGATTTTTTTCTCAAGCCATGTATACATTCATACAAATAGTTTAATAGATAGGTAACTTATTATATGAAAAGTTATTTTAATATGTAAAAACCATAATATGCAAGAACATGTATATAGAAATGTAAACAAAACATACATAGTAAATCAAGTTCATCAACCGAAAATCCAGGTACAACTTTATATTTTAAAATCTGCAACAAAATAAATTCCCATACAACACCAATTTAAAAATCACACTATTTAACTTCAATATGTGAGGGTTTGCGATTCCTCTTGTCGACGAAGAAGCATCGTCTTCGTCGTGGTCGTCGCCTTCGTCATCTTCGTCGTCGTCGCAACGAAACCCTAATTCCTCCGAGCACAGTCCGCCGTCCCCCGTCGTCACTGCGCGTGCAGAATCGCCGCAGCGGGCACGCGACGAGCGATTCCAACATCGACCCACGTCGTAGAATTTGTGATAATTTACTGGGGAGGTGGGGGAAAGGAGGTCACGAGATACGGTCGCCCTCTCGGACGAGCACATGTGGCCCACTGGGAGAACGCAAAAGAGAAAAATATCTCGAAAAGCGTACCGGCGTACAAATTGGGGACAGCTCAAATTCCATTCAATGGGAGAGTGGTATAGCATGGCAAGCAAAGCGCGCGACGGTCAGCGCCTCGGATCGAAGTTTGCACGACTCGAGCACTTGCGAATTTTTCTTCTCGGGCTTTGCAAGTGAGAGATGGGAACCTAAAGCTGCAATCGGATGCACCACCATGAGGCTATAATAAGGCCCCACGCACGAGTAATTTGTCGCACATTCTCTCACCTGATTGCGAACCACCACCTTCTCGTCACAGTTATCACACCCGCTTGTTGTCGCCATCCCTGTGTAAAAGAAATGAATCTGCCCTGGTTCATCAAAAAGGCTGAATATAGAATTGATGAGAAGCCCTCTAATGAAGCATCTTTTCGGTATATAGAACCAGGATCTTTTGGATCGGGTTCCCCACTTCCCCGTGCGTGAGTGGATGGATGGATCGGCGTTTCGTGCAGCGAGGCTTGAGACGGGGAGGATGTTCGTGGGATGAACGATGATGAAGTGGGACTGTTTTGGCCCTTTTCTAGTCTCTGGAATTCGACTCTGCCTTTGAGGGGGCGTCACCTGTCCTGATGTTCATATCATTGTGATTTTTTTCCTCTCTTGAGGCCCAGCAGCTCCGACCCCCTCGTTGATCTCGTGTCGTCTCCTATGTTTCTAGGAGGTTAGATCGTAGCACTGCTTTTACTTGTTCTTTTTGTATTTTTGCTGGAAGCTCGATTCGGGAACTGCAGAGGTGTTTAGTTTGTGGGTTTTTTATCCGCTGGTGAGTGAGTTGCCCTGTTAGCGTTGGTGGTTTTCTGTGTGAGTGGTCTCTCTGTAGACGACTTTCGATTGGAGATTTGCATTTGCGGGCCTCAACCTGCATCGCGTTGAAGTTGTGTGCCTTTCTGCAGGTGGTTGGTGCGAGTTTTTAATGTTTGTGTGTACCTGTGTTTCAGTTTTCGTACCTAGTGGTTGTTGCGTTTGTCTGTCTGTGCGTTTGTTAAGGAGAGTTTGACAAGACCTCGGCGGTTTGGGCGTGCTTTGCAATCTTGTGAATGTAGTGGGGAGGATTTTGGGACGCATTACATCTGTTTCACTTTGTTTGTATTTCTAAAACCTCGATACCAGAAGTACCGCGGATTGACTTGAGGATCGAAGAGAACTTATCGCCGCATTCTTTTGAGTGCTGGAAAAATTGTTGTTCTTGTTAGCGTGTTAGTAGAAACTAATCCTAGTACTGACAATACTTTAGAATACACGCTCTTTGAACAAATCACTTCAACGGAAGTGCATGGTGGTATCCTGCCTTGGGTATAGAATTATATATTGGGGACATAGGAGTAATGCATTTATGGTTTTTTTCTTCTGTGGATTTGCAGTCACCGCCCGATTGATACATCCATTGATCACTTGGTTGTGCCACGGTCCAAGTTCTTCCTCTCCTATTCACGTGGACTTCGATCGCTAATTCTACCGCTTGTGCGAATCGTTTTTCAAGATGCATTTGTTTGGCAATGGGAGCACCAAACAGGCGCCCGAAGAGGTTGAGCACCTCCAAAGGGAGCTTCTCCACCATGCTCAAGTCACCTACGCGCACCCCCGGCCGTCGTTCAACACCTCAGTGATGTACGAGGCGACTGCACAGACCGTCCGGGATCGCTTGGTTGAGCGCTGGCTTAAGACAGAGGAACACTACACCAAGACGGTAGGTGGCATAACTATCTAACAATGGCTAGTTGAATTTCCGTCGAATTTATTCACTCAGATCGAGGTTACTCAAGAATTTCCTTGTGCATGCAATTTTCTTTCCAATTTCGGTGGTGACTGACAGTGTTCTACGCGCCTGCTTGTTTCAGAATGCCAAGAGGATATATTACCTTTCTTTGGAGTACTTGGTGGGTCGTTCACTGCTGAACGCAATCTTGAACTTGAGGCTCAAGGTGTGTAAATCCTGATGCCATCTATCTGGACTATCTAATAGAGTTCGTAAGTCTCAGCTCTTTCGGGGCTAGTCACAGTCTCAAGCCGTTTTTTTTGTTTTTTGTTTTTTTGTATTGTAATGTTTTGTTTTGTTTTTTTTTGCCGCTCAGACCTGTTTCAATTTTTATTTATACCCCAGGAAATTTGTGATGCAGGGTGAATATTCTGAGGCATTGAAAGCTCTGGGCTACCACCTAGAAGAAACGGTAAACCTCGACCTTTAGCTGCAAGTTTTTCTGCTTTTATTTAATGATCTTGTCACCACCAGGCATATTCACTTTTCCATTTGGGAAAAATGATAACTGAAATTTTATATTATTTTATGTTATTTTGCAAAATAACTTCGATTTGAAGCACTGATAACCCACAATTTCAGGTCGAGGAGGAAAGAGATGCAGGTCTTGGTAATGGAGGCCTGGGACGTCTGGCCTCTTGTTTTCTCGATTCCATGGCTACTCTCAGCATCCCTTCCGTCGGGTAATGCCATCGAAAATTCTTTTAGTTTCAGTGTTTTCCGCCTTGAATGCAACCGTCCATTCTTCGTTGATGAGGAAATACTAATATGTGTTCTATCATCTGGGTCTGCTTCAGATATGGAATTAGATACAAGTACGGGATTTTCGAGCAGCTCATTCAGGATAACAAGCAAATCGAACGTCCAGACTACTGGTTGTCCAAGGGAAATCCATGGGAAATTGAGCGCTTGGATGTTGTTTATCCAGTTCGTTTCTACGGACACGTAGTCACACACCATCAAGATGGTAAGACTCTGTTCAAGTGGGAAGGTGGAGAGGTCGTGCAAGCTGTGGCGTATGATACCCCCATTCCCGGCTTCGGCACAGTGAATACCAACACCATGCGTCTATGGAGCGCGTATGCACCCTTCTCCTTCAACTTTGAGTGTCTGCGCTCATTTCGTTTCATTCACAGTTGCGTGGTGAAATGTCGTTCGGGAATGTCATGGGTATCGTATACCGCTTATCAGTACATTGGATCCCTGTCGGTTCTTGTCCATTAGTCTTTAATTTCCATTTGCTGATGCAGGCGGCCCTTAGAAGAATTCGGTTTGGGAGAATTCAATGAAGGTCATTACGCTCAGGCAGTAGAGGCCAGAGTCAGAGCGGAGGCTATCAGTTCTGTCCTGTATCCCAATGACAACCACGATGCAGGAAAGGAGTTGCGGCTCAAGCAACAATACTTCTTCGTATCTGCCACACTACAGGTAATCTTTTAACTGCAGCTATTGCGCTTTCTGAGGATGGGTATTTCGACATGCTCTAGTAATGGGCTTGGAATTCATGCTGACAACACTTTCTAGCCTAGTTTTTATGCAAGGTTTGTCACTATAACTAATCAGATTTGTCGTGGGTGTTCAGGACATCATGAAGCGTTACAAGGCATCTGGAGACGCCATCTCGAAGTTCGACACCAAAGTCGCTGTGCAGCTCAATGATACACATCCTACAATCGCCATTCCCGAGTTAATGCGCCTCTTCCTGGATGAGGAGGTTAGGAGCAGATTAATCACATCAACTTTCGTGATTAGATCTAGAATCTAGGATGGATTCTAACTTGTTTTCTGCGTCATCTCTGCATTTCAATCTACAATCTTGTCCAATTGTGCGCATTCATTTACTTCCTGTTGTGATTTTAGGGAATGAGTTGGGATGCTGCCTGGGATATAACCACCCGGGTATTCGGGTACACCAACCACACTATACTTCCAGAGGCGCTCGAGAAATGGTCTGTTCCATTGATGCAGAAGCTCCTTCCCCGTCATCTTGAAATCATTTATGAGATCAACCATCGTCATCTTCAGGTAATGCCCTCTAGTTAACTCTCACTCTTAAGCAGTCTTATGGATTCGAAAGAGTCTTTGCGTTGAATCCTTCGATTACAAACAGCTGCTAAACGCGAGGCAGTCGGTTTGTATTTCAAGCTCAGATCACTTTGTCTCACAGTTTCAACGATTAAGAAACAGTTTCTTTGTTTGGGTCGTGGAATGATGGTCAATTTCTGAATTGGAGAGATCGAGCGATATGTCAGGTTGTTGAGGGGAAGTGGAAGAATGATACCGAAAAGCTGATCAAGATGAGCATTATCGAAGAGGGTAACACGAAGGCGGTGCGAATGGCAATCTTGGCCACTGTTGGATCTCATGCCATCAACGGTGTCGCTGAGATTCATTCAGGCTTGGTGAAAACCTCGCTTTTCCCAGAATTTGTGGAGCTTTCACCTCAAAAGTTCCAAAACAAGACAAATGGTGTCACCCCCAGGCGGTGGATCTTGCAAGCTAACCCGGGCCTCAGCAAGGTTTTCATCATCCCCTGAGTTTGTTATTTGGTTACATTAGTGTTAACTGGAACTTCCAAATTTCGTTGCAGTTATTGAAAGCGACGCTTTAGAGATCTCACAAATTTGTTCACCTACAGATCATCACTAAAGCTGTGGAAACCGAGGACTGGGTGCTGAACCTTGATTTACTCCAGGTTTGTTATCGCCACTCTTATCTCCCCTAATTGCAACTGGAAGTATAAAATCTCTATCCATTGGTGTTTGTTAAGTTTTACATCTTAGCTGGTGTTTGCTTGGGCAACTTTGTATTCATTTTTTTCTTTGTCTTTTGGTATATCTTCCTTCAGAGGATGAAGCACTTGGCAGGTAACAAAACCTTGCAGCACGATTTCCAAGCTGCAAAGAGTGCTAACAAGGCAAAGCTTGCAGCACTGATCAAGAGTCGGTGTGGTGTGGAAGTAAGCAAACAGTGTGAAATTTTTGAAATTGTATCGAAAAGGGTAGCTTCAATTGTTAAGGTATATGCTTTCGGTTGGCTTAATCGTTCTCGAGGCAATCGAATATGTTGGTCAGTTAAAAGAAACCTTCTGCTCCTGTTTCAGGTGTCTGAGAAGGCGCTTTTCGATGTGCAAATCAAGCGCATTCACGAGTATAAGCGACAGCTTTTGAACATATTGAGTCTTATCTACCGTTACCAGTGCATTAAGGTAATGGTCACCGCTCTTTTTGTCGAATACATCTAAAGACTTGTGTGTCGAAATTCTTCACTTTCATAGTCCAATAACTTCACGATTCTGTTCTATGATTTCCTGGATCGAAGCTACCTCTTAAATGAGTCACTGAAATCAATCAATTGATGTTTGACTCTTTGCTGCATGAATCAGAGGGCCTCACCAGCAGACCGTGCAAAGTTTGTGAAACGTGTGGCTATTTTTGCTGGAAAAGCTGCTCCTGGCTATTACTTGGCTAAGCGCATCATTCAACTCATCAACGCGTGAGTATTTCTCCGGCAATGTGTTGAAATAGTCCTCAATCTTTCTTTTAACTCACTCATGTGAAGCGTTATTTGTGTAGCTTTGATTACACTAAACACTAACATCTTATGATCATCATATCCTGAATGGTTTCTTCTTACACTTCGCCGTCATGTATTTCTCGAGTAGTGTAACACTCAATTCTAGTATTTAGTACGCACTTTTTTAACAGCTTGAAGTTTTGTTCTCAGGGTTGGTGCTAGAGTGAACAATGACCCTGATGTCGGAGATACCTTGAAGGTGGTGTTCATTCCCAACTACAGCGTTTCACTTGCCGAGGTAAGAGTCCTATACAACAGAAGGAAATGATCACTTCAGGATTTGAGTGCGCATGGGAAGCATGGTTGGGCTACCTCATAACTTCGCATACTTCCAATCTATGTAGGTGATCATCCCTGCCAATGATATCTCTCAACACATTTCAACTGCTGGAATGGAGGCTAGTGGTACGTCCAACATGAAGTTCGTAATGAACGGAGGATTGATTGTCGGCACCATGGACGGAGCCAACATTGAGATCGCTAATGCGTGTGGACGGGAGAACATGTTTGTTTTTGGAGCTACTGCTGAAGAGGTGGGAGGACTTCGGCATGCGTTGAAGCACAAGGGCGAGGACTTGATCGATGAGCGGCTCCTGCAAGTAAATTACCACCTTCTCCACAAACAAATCTAGTAGGGAAAACTTGCGTTAGTTTATTTGAATCGCTATGTTCCAGCAACTTTGTCTCACAAAGATTGAAATGTATAGGTTTATCACTCTATCGAGGCTGGTGACTTTGGACCATACGAAGAGTTTGAGCCTATCTTGTACTCCTTGCGCGAGGGGAGAGACTACTACTTGCTCGCCCATGACTGGCCCTCATACCTCGATGCCCAGGTCAGAATGCTTTCTCTTAAGAGTTATTGCCATATCCTTTGGAAATAGAACTAATGTTTCCCTGTAATTGTGTAGTAACCTGGCACTATTTTTGGTTACAGGAAATGGTTGATCAAATCTTTGTGGACGAGTCCGAATGGACACGGCGGTGTATTGTAAGTGCCAGTTTACAACCTTCAACCTCAACCATTTCTTTGTAGTGCATCTTCGCATGGTTTGTACCCGCACCAACCCCTACGTTCCTTGTTTAAAATCCTGGACATTATTTTTTTTCTTCTGATAACTCCATGTTTCATATCTACAGACGAGCACCTCCATGATGGGCGTTTTCAGCAGTGACCGCACAATTGCAGAGTACGCCAAGGACATCTGGAATGTTAAGGTATGAATATCCCGAATTGTAACCCGAGTAGTCCCTAGCCATCTTTATTTTTTTCTTTTCGTGCACTCCCTAATCGCTCATCCTCTAATGATCGTATACCGTCTGTTATGCAATGCAGTCTGCACCCGTTCCTTCGGACGCCAAGCACCAGTGAAGCCAATTTCCTTAGCTCAGCACCACAAAAAAGATTTCTTGTAGTCAGCGGTAGCACAACACACGTTCTGTGTGACAAATCATCGGGTGGTCGAGCGCGTCTTCTTTCCTCTATCTCCCCCGACGCACTAATTCTTATTGTTGAAGATTTAGCAACATCGCTTCACGGGCACATTGCTTGCGGTGCTTGCGATGAACACCATGATTCGGCGACTTGTTAGCCCCTCCCAGAGACGCAGATAGAGAATAATAAAATGTGACATTATTGTATTAAACTCTACTGTAATAACATTGAGAGTCTTCACAAACCGACCGCAAATGAATGGACCCTAATACCGGGTGCAGGGGAGCTGTCCACCGTGCAAAAGAAGAGTTTATGACCAATCCGTTGAGATTGACTGGTGTCTGTCTGAGTTTTGTTTGCGCGCGCCGCTGCTGAAATGAAATTTGAATTCGCGCCATCGTCGCACAATGCAATTTGCAGTCTATAGATTGGAATCGTGGTCGGAGTTGTAAGCGATGCGCGTTAACGAGGCGTGCAATTTGTTGCGAGTCTTGGTTTAGGACTAACTGAGCGTCTTTGCCTCTTAGAAGTTGAGTGGAAGATTGTTGCAGGGTGAAGTTACCGTGGGTGGAATAGTTGTCTCGGTCTGATTCTAGCTTCAGGATGAAGGAGAAGAAAAATCCAATGAGTTGCTTCGGTGAGTCGATTTATGGCTTTGTTGTGTGCGAAACTGAGCTAGTTAGAGCACTGGGAAATGGTGGATGTCTGAGGATAGTTTTTGTTTTGGACTGTGTTCTCTTCGGCTTGATCTGAAATAAGTCGTGGTGGAATTTCTAACGGTGGAGTATTTACGGTCCAAAGCAGATGACATCGGAGTCGACTTCCTCAGTGCCTGGAAGCCGGGCAATATGAGCTCTGTTCCGAATCTTGACTTCGAGTGCTCTCAACCGAGTGTTTCTGGAAAAGCTTTCAAGATACCTAACAATTTGTGAGTAAACCTCAGCTTGGCATAGCAGAGAATTATCTGGTCCTTATGATGCTTCTACATGCACATTAGTTTCTATATCACCAGCTATGTGTTCTCAGCGGTTGTGGTGACGTGGCTTTTTCGTTTGAATTAGATTAATAATAACGAAGGTCGCAAAGCTAGTTGCAAATTGCTGTAATATTGACTAGCACTTAGATTTAAAAAAAGAAGAGAATCGCTTGTGCCTGGCATTTACATTCCTCGAAGGCTAACCATCCTAGAACTCTTTTGTCAGTGACATGGAAATAGACTTTGGCACTCAGTCTGGCTTAAGCAGCAAACTGTCATCCTTCGATATCGATTTCGACTTCTTGAAAAGTCCAAAATATGGCGACTTAGATAAAGGAAATCGAAGGGAACCACAGATGACATGTTCTGAGCATTCTAAAGATTCTCTCGAATACAATACAAAAAATGATGCCTCTCTTCTTTCCGGTCAAGAGCAGCTAGATCCTGCCTCAAAGACTCGGGTTGTTGAGGAAAAATTGAATATGAAATGCCAAAACCAGATTGAACCAAAAAGAGCATCCAAGACTGCTGACTCTGCCGAGGCATTTTCATGGGGTAGCCAATCTGAGATGACGAGGGCATATCTAGATTCCAGTGATAAAAGAACAATTAAAGAAATCAATAATGATATGTTAAAAGTAACTGCGCATGATGGCTCATCTCCTAAATCCCTTGAAGAAGCTGTGTTACAAGGATGGTATATAGTTGGCGAACAAACTGAAAGTGCTCCAGAAATAACTAAACAATCTTCAGGGGAGGGAGCTACTGCATCAACTTTTCAATCAAAGGAACAACAAAAGCAAAATCTACCACCTGTGGAAGCCCTATCAAACCAGAACGATTCAGTTGTCACAAAAATTGTTGACCACCAGGATGCAAGCGTTCAACAGAGGAGCACTGAAGGAGTGCCACAAGGGAAAATAGAGGAGAATGACATAGAGTTACAGTCGAATGGTCTTGTCGCCAAAGTTGGGGAAGCTACGGAGTTGACAGATATCCAGCCTCGCGAAATTAAATTAGGAGAATCTCTCTTTGTGGTAGGGCCATTTGAAACTGTCGCTGAGAGTCAAATCAATAATGAGCAGGTCAGGCATATCAATCAGGCCGAAAAAGTGCCTTGTGAAATTACTGATGTTGCTCAGACGTATGTAACTGCTGGAGTAACACATACTCGAGAAGGGGAGCCTAAAGCTTCTCTTGTCAGTCAGGTACTGGAAGTCACAACTCACTGGACAGACTTGCTGCCTTCCATAGTTGGTGACCAGACAAAAGCAAGTTGCGCTAAAATAAACTTCGAGGTTGAAGAGGAATTTCCAGGCTCAGAACAGAACGTTGATTCACCAGTGCAAAGAGTGATCTCTAGAAACTCAATGAAAGGCAGGCTACAACGCAACAGCCAAAGAGCAACGAGGTGACCTTCAGAAAAATTCTTTACCATTCTTTGTGGGGCGATTCTTAACTGCATGAAAATCATATTGCCACTGCATGTTTGGGACTGCGACTTCCCTGTAGCAGACAGCAAGTCGTTTGTCACTTGTAGATCCATCCTTAACTATTTCCTTGCTGTGGTTCTTATGATACTCTAGACCCGCAGCTGAAGAGCGAAATTCATCTGATCTTCCTTCGAGGAAGACAAACGAAGACAGAACTAGCCAGCCTGCAACTGAACGCAATAATAACATCAAGAGGTACAAGGGGGTGAAATCTTTTTAAATTGTGCAACTGGAGACGGTCCGATTGATATGATTCGGACTTCCCCTTTCTCCGAAGAATGCTGCTAATGGCAATGGCATAATGGGAGGCTCTGCGAGCTGTGTTTCAATTACTGACGCGAATATTAGTGGCTAGTTATTTACTTTTTGAAAACTTTACCCTGAAGCTAATTATGTAGGATAAGTGAATTTTTGACACGCTACCAGGTCTCCACTGCCAGCAAAGGTCGCCCGTTCATTTCTGACCAAGGACATCAGCAAAGTGGACGTGCCAGATTCAAGAGGCCCTTTAAAAACAGTTAAAACAATAGATCGGAAACAAAAAGACAACCTATCTGTGGCCTTCAAGAGCCTTAAGCCTACACAGGTTCTTGTATAACCTTAAAATTGCGAGAAAAAAGAATGTTCCTTTCTTTTACTTGATGGCTCTTTTCTACATTTGACGTGTATATTGCACATTATGACGTGATTTGGAGTCGGTTTTGAGAGAACCTTCTCCACTTCTGTAGTCCTAATCATTCATCGTATCATTCTAGTCTCACGTGAAAGTACCGTTCCTCTGTAGGTTAGTTCTCTGCGGACGTCACGATCTCACGCCTTGCCACCATTGAGGTCTGAGAAACAGATTGAGGATCCTACATCTAATGAAAATGGCGAGAATTTGCGCATGAAATTGAAACCGCCAGTTAACGTTAAAACGGTATAGATCGCATCTTTCAAGAACATGAAGACACTCATGAGTGACAGTCACTTTCTTGTGTGAGGAATAAGTAGTCAACAATTATTTGGATTTTTTAGTAGCTCCGTTTCACAATCAATTGGCAACACTAACAAATTTATGTTGGACGCCTGATTTTCTATTTTTTCCAGCTGCTGTGATTTAAATTTCGTTTCAAACATTACTCTGCAAAATCCTAATTCAGAATGACATTCTGGATATTTTTCAAATCAGATTTCATTAGAAACACCAATACATCCTCCAACAAGGGCAATCCTCAGTAGCAAACGAGGCCCTCCAGAAGAACAGTCAGCTGATGAACAGGCTAGTTCTCATTTTTCCCTAAGACATTTCAATGCAGACACTTAAATTACCATGGTAAATCATTTGCGTATATTCACGGATATCGTACGCCAGAAATCGTTTGGTTTAATTTTGACATTTTCCAAGTTTTTAGTTGGCAAAGAGTGTATGATCTGATGCTCATGTGTTGTTCGTTACAGGAGGACTACTCAAAACGTCCTAAGGTCCAAGCTGCACACCAGTCCGAAGCAGAAAACCATCAGCTTAAGCCCCTATATGCAGGACAAGGAAAATCGACGAGCGCGCCAAGTCTTGCTTTGGAAAAACTCTCAGTATCTAAACATGCTTCATCAATATCAGGTCAAAGTCTAAGTCGCCTACCATCAAGCAACAACAAGCTCGGACCTCAGCCGAGGTATGCTTTTCCATACTCCAGCTTCAATCTTATGCATCAATGACCAATCGGGAACACAATTTACAATGATTTTATTACTAGGTATCAATATTGTTCATGAATCTTTGTTGCAGTTCTGCTTCAAAATATTAAATAGTGAAGTTTTCTTACATGTCTGATGGGTAGTTTACCCGCATTGTTGAGAACTTTTTGTATGTTCAATGTCTGAAGCTGGTTTAATTTGTATTTGGAGAATGTAGGAGTTGGTTTAAGATACTTACCCTTGAATTCACCACAGAATTCAAGAAACTGGACTTGGGCCTGCTGCAGCAAGGATCGACATTCATAGGGCAGAGAACATACCTGCGATTTCAAAATCTTTGTGTGTTCGAAGCCCTCCACGCAACCACAAGGTTGATATAGCGAATATTGAAGTTGTTAAGCAACCTGCATCAGCAATGACTCATAAACTGGAGAGCGGTAGGCGTAACCAGAAGAAATCCAAAATCATTAGTTCTCATTCACAACTCGAGAATACCATAGAAAATTTGACAGGTGCAATGAATCATAAACATGAAGTTTTCAAGAATATTGAGTACCAAAAGACCCACGGAAAGCAAGGTTCCCAATTGCCACTGCGGGATAATCGAATGGGTTGCACGAATGAAGTGCACGAAAAACGAGAACTCCGCAAGTTGAAAGAAAGTTGTACCCAATTACGATCCGTGGATACCATGGGTCAGGTCTGCCCGAATGAAACTACGTTCGGCACTATCTCAAAGACAACAGCCGACTGCTCGGTTGAGCTTGATGAGGTAATTTCGTCCACTTTCTAGTTTGATCCTCATTTCAAATTGCTAACTGCAGTTTGACGAGATGTGAGGGGCATTAATTCTCGATACCAGATTTTATGCTCTATTCGACATGTGATTACATGGCAGCCTCGTGGTCGTCAAACATCCCAGAACTTGAGAAACTGTTCGATTTTATTTTGTGAAAATATGGCATTTGAACCATATTAGAAAGGGTCAAGACTGTCCCAAACAACTCTGGCGCTGGATATCGGCCTTTTATCCTGTATCAGTTGAATGATCAAATGTGATGTACCTAACAACTTCGATATTAATAATCAGGACAACATATGTTTGTGTACTGATAGCGCTTTTGCAGATTTTGAGCATGCTGCAACAAAAGCAACGGAGTGCGAATGATCTATTGGCGGAGGTGATGGCTCATAATGCTAAGTTGAAGTTCCTTCTGGATTCCAAAAACAATGAAAAAATATCCTTTTTTAGCTGCTACAAATGAAATGAGCATTTTGATCAAGCCCTATTATATAAACCCTTAAACCATGCTGTGATACCATTCATTAACTCCTTGTATGAGCTTCTTCATTAACTGTGTCTATTACGTTTGCACATTTTCTGGATCGTCACGAAGTTAGTGATGCAAATCGTCATCTAATTATCCTTGACCTCGAGCACATCATAACATTACAAAAATCTATCGAAGAAAAACTAGAGGAGGTCAAAATGCAGGCAACAGGGAACCGAGCAAAAAGATGTAAATTGTGTGAAGAAAAGCGGGAGGGAGAAGCTGCAGCCTTGGTCAAAGAATGCTGTGATACCATTCATCGATGCGATGGTCAGCAAAATATCGAGTGCTAGCCAAATCCATTTGGCACACATACAAGAATCATTCGCAATGATCTCTACATGGGGTGCTTTTGGGGTGCAAAACATTCAACAAGTCAGTCAACGAGTGAGAATTCGTTTCCCGTAGTTGTACAAGTGCTTTCGAAGTTTGGTAGCGTATACACGTGTCTTTACGTCCAACAGAATAGGTGATTCGTCCATGTTGCCCTTGCCCTGATTGAATCATGGGATACCTTTCAGGAATTGCGAACCATCCACTCAAGTTTGTAGGTATTGTAATCCACAACGTTTGATGAGGAAGCTCTGGTATACTATGGATACAATCTGTCCCCCAGTAAATATCCATCCACATCACAGTGAAAGGGATCATACTGAATGTATCCATGTATACCAAAGTCCTTCCGAACGATTCGTTGCGAATTTGTTTACAGAATCCTAAAATTTTGCTTGTGAATTCTTGTCAACTCTCTCTTTTTGTTTTAAAATGCCACAACCCAGACCATCATCAGCTGCTACCATGTTCTCATCTCCTGTGGTGATTCGCCTCCGAACCCACCACCCATAGTCCCCGAGACACATCCCACCTTTCTTGACTACTGTCGGGTCGACGACGAGAGACAAGAGACGCAACCATCAACACTATAATGTGCAGGAGACTCGAGAAACAGCTGCTGCTCTGGAAGCCCTTCCAATCCAGGATGACGTCTTTGCAAGAGTCGGTAGGTGAAATGACAGATTTCATTCCTAGTTAAACCAAGAATTCCAGTCAAGTCATTGAAGAGCACTTTTGTTAGTTTATTTTAGTTTATTTTATTTGCATGGTTGTGTAATTGTTGACATCACATTTTCAAAGCTTTGAATTCCTACAAATTACTTCAAAACTCTCTTTTATCTTTTCTGGTCATTGTGTTCTTTTAAGGTGGGGTTCACAACACTCATCTTTATAGATTGTGGGAGTCACCTTTACTGACTCTTTGTGTTTGTTTTTTAGTGCCTTTAACATCCAGCCTCATAAGATGGCCAAGCCTCGAGTGATGTTTTTTTGTCTTTTGTTGGGAACAACTTGCGCAAATATAAATGTACATCAATTTTTAAAGATGTCAACTTTACGTAGTCAAATAACGTCAAACACTACTTCCTGAAAGTAATGTGAGTTTATCAAGTACTTTGAAACCCTTTACGAGTCATATCCAAATTAAGCTGCCAGACTTCTTTTTTTAGAAACTCATGTTAAATATCAAGTTTTAGGAATTTTATTAATTTTCTTTTTTTGGGATGTACAATCTTACAGAATCAAATGCGAATTCTAATGCAATATCCTATGAAAATTGTAAAATGCTTTAAATATAAGAGTACCATGCATATTCTGGCATTGAAAAGTTTTTTATTTTTTTATTTTTTCTATACAATTTGTTTTAATATTGATGATAATGATAACATAATGAAAATGATAATGAAAATGAAAATGATAATGATAGTCATAGTAATGATAATAATTTCTCTAACATGAATTTCCCTGTCTTGGGGTTTTTTTTTAAAAAAAATTCATCAGTAAATTTAAGATTTTTTGCACATCTTAAATTAATGAGTGAAAGAGTTGGTTCACTTCAATAGGCTAAGTAAATTCCTGTAACATTTTTTACAGGATGTAAAACAAAGCATTTTGCAATGTTAATAGGTTCAATAATTACATCCTGTAATACCAAAAGTCATTAGTTAATAGTTTTACTAAATGTAATATGAATTTTATTCAAATATAGAAAGGTTAGAAGGAATTCATATAAATAAAAATATAACTTATACACATATATCAATGCATGTTTATAATAGGCAATCTAGGATTTTTGTGCCTTAATTGCCTACATGAGTTTTTCAAATGAGCCTAAAATAAGATTAGGAGTGGAGCAGTAGTTACTAACTGCCAAAATTACTTATTCAATTGCAACCAAGTCGGGGTTGGGAGCAAAGTGGTAGTTATTAACTACAAAGGTTACTTTTTTAATTGCAACCAAGTCAAATAAAGTGGTAGTTATTGACTGCCAATGTTACTTTTTCAATTGCAACTAGGTTAAAGTGGAGTAATAGATAGTTAATTTTTTTGTTGATGTTTAAACCTCCAATTTCAATATCCAAGAACAAACATAGCTCAAGTTACATCAAGGCCAATGATACAAAGTATGGATTGAAAATTGATTTCCATTATGTTACCACTTTAATTGTCAATAAGGTGTAGTGCCACTTTTGTATTGTATTTGATTGTGAAGAAGATATTGGAGCAAAACACAAAATCATGACCAATGTACAAGATTGGAGTATACAATTTCAATACAATAATATTGACTTATATAAGAAGAAGCAACATGCTTTGAAATTTCAAGAGTATGATAGCTCCAATTGAAAGTAAAGCAAGATGCCTTCTTTGATAATGTTGTTGTCTTGTTTCAAAATTTGATGATGTCTTACTTTGTCTCTGAAGCTTTGGACCAATATGAAATTGTGTTTGATATTATCAAAGCCATTGTCAAAATCATCATTGATGACATATTATATTCAGTAGAGGACAAAATCTATAACAATGATAATGACATCAAACATGATGAAGATTAGATTGCATTTGGCAATCATGCTAAACATGGTGTTGCAATGAGCAATAATTATATAATTCTCATGAAGACAAAGAAGTAAATGTTGTTACTTTTTAAGTGAAGTGAGTCAATAGACAATAGAATGAAGCTCTATATTCTTAAATTGTCACAATCTCAAAGACGAAAATGGAATTATTGAACCTTACAATTTGATACATTGTACATGGAACATCATTCAACATGATGGAAAATATCATTGATTAGATGTACAAAGTCCTCTTTGCTCCATTGTTGCATTCTTGTATTTGTAGCAATATAAGCAATTTTGTCAAAATAAATTATATTATTAATTTTTAATGGCTACCAAAATTACTTCAAAATATATGGAAATTCTTGTTGGTACTTGATTTTGCAGCCTACTAAAGCATGTCATATCTTGATGTGCACTTTTGAGTGTATATAAAGTAAAAAAACATCATTATCAACTTGTATAGGTGCATATTGTCAATTTTTAAGTAGTACATAAATAAAGCCATGTTCAACATGGTTGCTAAATTTCTTGACAAATTTTGTTTTGATTAGTGGATGTGTTTTCTTGGAGTATTGACTAATGGAGCTCAAAACATAATTGACTATATATTAGAAGTCATGACTCGACTTCAAGGAGCTCTTTATAACAATTGCAAATTAATTTGTATATGGTGTAAAAAAAAAATCAGCATGATCTAGTCATAGAGCACATCATAAAAGTATTAATGAAGGAGCATTTTTTTTTCTATGATAATGGATTTCATTTTACACTTCATGCAGCAACAAAACTTTATTGTAAAAATAGGTACAACATGCTTTCATATCATAAACTATTTACTTTCTATATATAAGATTATTATTATCAAGGACATGAATTTTAAAGAACTAAAAGTTTAATTTACTCTTATGCCACTCAAAAAGTCTAAAAAATCACTTGAGGATCATATAATATTAAACTATAATAACTATTGCCAAAAACAAGAAGACTAAGACATCTTAAAACAAGACTAAGAACTAGAAAGGCATTAATAAGAGTGAAGAAGGCTTTACTCTTGCTTCCATATATACTATCTAATTAAGAGCTATGTGACAACATTCTATAGGACCTCCGACATGTGTCCAAGTAGCAAGATACTTGTCTAACTTACAAGATAAGTCTTTTATTAGTACACCATTTAATTAGCTTATATTATAAGCTATTAACATATGCAACACGTGCCTAACTTGTTGGCTAAGTTTCTAATGTATCAATAAACTACAACACATCTAAAGTTAATTCTACATCTATAAAGCTTTTAAAAAGCTTTGTCACAAGATAATATAAAATCCACGTACAATTATCTTTTATCTAATAATTTTTATTTAAGTAAATATATATGTTTGTGATATTATTCTTCCTTTTAGAGAGAAGTTCTACAAGGAGTAGCAATCATATGATGAAAAAGTTTGAGATGTGACAAATTATATTTACCACATATTTTGAACTTTATTTCTTTTGATGATAATTGATAGATCCTTTCAACTACTAATGATGTTTCAATCTAAGGCAATAAGACTACTTTGATATTTGATTAATATTGAGGCTTTTATAACTTTTCTTCAATTTGATTTTAATGGATATTATTGATAAAAAATATCAACATTTTTTGCTACATTTGTAAGTTTCTTGAATATCTCTCATTTTAGTTTATCAATATTATATTTGCACCAATGAACGAGATATTTTAACCTATTTTGGTGCTATATTGAATCTAAATCTTCTTGACCTCATACTCTTGATAATTATCCTCTCTTATAGGAAGAGGTGGCATTTTTTTTTATCTTTTTTATATATCTATTGTCTTGCATGGCTCAAAAAGAGAGACATGGAATATAAGATAGATCTTCATAGACTACAGTAGGTGCAATCTATATTCAACTAGATTGATTTGCTTACAAATAGGAAATAGTCTAAGTCAATAGTAATCCAACTTATCACAATAGAGAATAATCTTGATAATACAACAAAGTAACTATACGTTGTCACCAATATGGAATTAAGGTTATTCTTTGTAATAGGCATCAACATTGATTTTTTGTCATTCTTGAGTTTCTTTTAATTGTGCCTTCATTATTGCATATAGCTTTAATAAATGATTTGCTAAATCTTTTGCTATAGTATTAGTATCTTTTCAAACATCAAAAGTATCAATTTATAGATGATAACTATAATTAGTAAAAAAAAAATTATTTGAATAGAAGAATGTACCACATTATTATAAGCAAAATTCATCAATAATAAAAAAATTGTCTAATCATCTTATTGGTAGGTGATAACATTACTTCAAATATTGCTCTAAAACTTTATTCATCTGCTTTGTTTATCCATCAATTTGAAGATGAAAAGCAAAAGATACTTTTGTATTGACCTTTAAAATCTTACAAGAGTTTTTTATAATCATGATACAAATTGAGTCAATATAATATCCTTTGGCAATCCATAATAGTAATAAATGTTATTAAAAAAAAATAGTTGTTTCTTTGTTTGTAATAGATTTTGTACAATTTAAAAAATATGTTATCTTAGTGAAACAATCTACTATCACAAATATAGAATCATAAGAACTTGAAATTAAAAGATTTGTAATAAAATCTATAGAAATAGAAGATTATAGTTATTTTGAAATAAGTAATAATTGAAAAGTCAATAAGGCTGATGATAAAGAGTTTTTTATCTTCAAAAATCATCATATAAATATATAAAGCCTTTGATTACCTTTTACATTTGGTGCCACTAAAAATCTTTAGATATTAGCTCTAAAGTCCTGTTATATCCAAAATGTCATGTTATTCAAAAGTTGTGATGAGCT